AAGATCTTGAGCAATTGTAATCTCTCGCCTCTTCTCTATGAAGTAGACCTCATTCTCTTAGTTTGATGAACCATAGGTCTAAATTTTGGTTTGTTGTTGATGTAAGTGACATATTCTATATTTGATTGATGAATTTATCTATTTGATGGATGTTTTCATGGATTGCATGATTTTGGATTCCACTTCAGGTCAATTGAGTCGACCTAGGAGGGTGATAATCCCCTTAGACCCCATTATTGGCGTCTTCGGGTCACCCCTATCATATCTCGTCCAAGTAATCCCCAAGGGAGTTGATTCGATCGTTATCCTAACTATATATGAATCCCTAGGTTGAATAGAGCACCTTCCCATCCATCACTTTGTCGTTCGAGGTCAATCCCGAGTGAGTCAATATCATAACGATAGGGTAGTGAATCGATCGAGCTAGGATAGTAACTCAACATCGATCCAAACGATAGAACTAGGGAGATTCAGGCTAAGAGAGCTCAACAACTTGTCATTAGCTAGGTTAGCTAGTTTAATGTTCCTAATTACTATTCTAGGTTGCTAGATAATGAAACCTCAACCCGAAGTAAGGTAAGCCTAGAGCCCCGTGGTTCAATAATTTTTATTGCTTGCTTACCCTATACTACACCCGATCGTCAGTTATGCTTGGCTGTCGATTGGGATGTGTAACTAGAGTCAAGCCAAGTTTTTGGCGCCGATGGTGGGAACATTGCAGGTTATCAAAAAATGTCTTAGGTCGTTATTTTAGTCTTTTTGTTTTTGTTTTGTGTTTCGTTTGTGTTGTGTTTACCCACTCTTAACTTTGAAGAGTGGTTTGTGTTTGTTTGATTTTATTTTTGTGTTTTTGTTTTTGTTTTTGTAGGTTTTGAATCATGGATCCTTACGACTTTACCAACATGTGGGGACATCCACCACAATCCGAGGGTGGTTACCCCGAAGCATCATGGAACAATCAAGATGATGGAAGCCAAGGGTTCGGATTATTTTACCAACCCCCCTTGCAAGAAGAACAACCATACCAATGAGGATATTAAGAAGTTTTTCCATATCAAGAAGATTTCCTTCCACAAACAAAGGAGAAATCCAAGTTGGAGTTGTCCATGTAGGCTTTGATCGGGAATTCCTCACGGCCATGTGCTACTCCACAACCGAATCCAAAGAGCGAATTGGAGCTCACAGTGGAGAAATTTTCTCGGGACATCCTCTAATCGCCGACCCTATCGACTCCTCCTTCCTACGGACATCAGAGGAGATCCTTCAAAGCACAAAGAGGCTAGAATGGGTTGTGGAGCAAGCATGTGCACAACTTTCTCACAATCGTCTCCTACCATTTGAAGAAGGAAAGGAAGTCGAAGAGGCAATGCATGAGTACTTTGTAAGAACGAGCTCCGACATGAAGTTCCAACTCCTTCCTCCACCCGGTTTGACACTTAAAGAGAAGGTTGCACGAGCTTGCGCAAGCTATCGCCTCTCATCATTGGAGGATGTCGCAACCGCCCCTCCGATATCGGGGGATCTGTCACGATACGCTCGGAGTCGCTATCGAGCGTAGCTTGTAGTGGGTCGAACACTAATATTTCCCGATCTCAACCGTAAGGTCAAAATCGGGATTTGTTCTGCAATATTGTTGGATTTTGGGTCCGAGAGTACGGTTACGTGTGGGGAAGTGTATTCAAACACCACAACTCCCTAAATCGATACTTTTTAAATCGATAAGTTTTTAAGGGGTTGGGTGTATTAGTATTTCACTTTTTTTGTTGTCAAAGTATTAGTATTTGGCTATATTTGTGTATTCAATTATAAGAATCAAATATTTTTATGAGTTAATCATACGTCTATTGATGTAATTCTCAAAACTAAAGTAAGAGTTTTTGGTTTGTTGGATTTTTTCTGATTTGTTGATAATTTGGCTGGGCTTTGTTGACTAGGTTTGACCCGAGTTGACTTTTGTTGACTTGGGTTTGGCCTTTGACTTGGGCCCTTTCATTTTGTCCCATTGCTGATTGTAATTAACTGTACCGTAAGTTTGTAATTATTATGTAATGAAGAAGTTAATAGAGGTTTTTTTAATTTCTTTCTTTGTCATTCCTAAACCGAGGCCCAAATTCCCAAAAGCCCATTATCGATCATAATCAACCCAATGGCAGCGAGATTAAGCAATTGCCTAATTCATTTTTTATCGGTTCAACAAGTCACCCTCAAACTGTGTCAACAAAGAATCGAATTGGACATCGCCTCAAATCAATATTGACATTTAAGATTTGCTATTGCTAATCTTGATGGTCCACGACAAATATATTTGCCCAGAGCACTTCGAGTATCACTTTAGATGTTTAAAATTTGAGATATCCAACCTTACGCAATCAAGTTTATTTAATTAAATTGTGTTTAAACCCGGACAATAAGTGGTGTCTATAGAGGAGAAAGAGGAGGTTGATAAGGCAATCAATGACAATTGTGTGGAGCAAGATGAATTCATCTCGGGGAGCTACCATGGTGAGGATGAGAAAGAAGGTTGCATTGATCACTTTCACACCCTTACCTTTCCTGAGAACAACTTTGAAGACATGAATGGGAAGGAGAAGGAAGAGGTTGAAGTGGAGGACGTGAGCTTTGAAGAGGATTAAGATATTGCTTGTTTCCAAGGGGAGGAATAAAATTTGGAAGAAGGAAGGGAGGTTCAAGATGAGGTTCAAGAAGCAAGTGGTGTCCAATATGAGGACGAGGTCGTGGTGGATGAAGCATCTACAAGTTACAAGTGCTACGAGATCTTTCTCCCCGACCTTGATGTGCTACTCGAGAATTACCCATTTGTGGCTCTTTCCAAGCCAAGGCCAAACCATCGGTGATCCGTCTTGGTGGATGTGTTTGAAGTTGATCGAGGTTTCACTATGGGGTGTGAGGAAAAGAGAAGAATGAAGAAGGAAAGAAGAAGAGGTCTCGTGGGTGGAGCCCTAAGACTATTCAAGTTCACGAGTCCTGAAGCATGGACTCGTCCAAAGCTTATGAATTGAGATACCACATCACCAACGAGAACCTCAACTTCAAGGAGGTTCTAGGATGGACCAAAACCGCCATCGGTTGTTTTATTTTCTTTCAATAAGACAACCTTTGGGGAAATTTTGGTGCTTTGGACGTGGCCTTGCTCTTTCAGATCTCACCCGCCCAACGCTCCCGTCCACCGACATTCACACTTTATCCGGTAGAATCGCTCTACCTCCTTAGTTTACACCATTTAGGGCAATGTCGAGCTTAAGTGTGGGGGTAGTCTATTATGCTTGTGTGTGTGTGAATTATTGGTGTGATATTGAATGCTTGGAGCCTAGTTGTATGCCCAAATTTTTTAAAATTTGAGGCTTCCAAGTATAACAACTTCTACATTTGCATGATCAAAGTGGAACTTGTGGGTTTTTTGTTTTGAATCTCTTGGTTATTAGCATTGTCTATGGATGATTTGCTTGTGATTATGTGCAACCTATGATGATGACTAAGAAATGTATTAACTTTGTGCAAAGGTTTAGTTCTCATGTGTTTGTGAACCAATAGATGTTTAGAATCGATTACTCATTGATCACAGTTGTTTATGCATCGAGTTTAGGGAGTTATAATGAATGATTGAGCACCTAGGTATCCTTGTGAGACTTGTGCCGCTTGCTTCGTTTTTGTGCGTTTGATCCCACTTTGCATGATATGTAGCATTCACGTTGCCATTAGCAAAGAAAGTTGAGGCATAGGTTTAGTCCACCACCCAAAAATTTTACATGTCCCGATTTCATCATCCCCTAGTCAACCCTTTTGAGCCGTGTGTCTAAGGTTCGCTCTCGGGTTAGGTAGCTCTCACTACTTGAGCTTCATTGATTTAGATAGAGCGACCCTACTTTCTTCGAGTCTACACCATTATCAAGTCACCCTTGTGTTTGGAAGATCTATTCATATAATTTGAGCATAATTGAGAATTATAGAGTTCAATTCATGAAGTGTACATAGTAGTACAACTTGACCTTCCAATTTATGATCCAACTTAGTGATATAGGATATTGGTTTGTGAGAATGATGAAAAAATGATAGATGGTTTCCAAACTCACTTAACTTTGAATCATCACTTTGATCAAAGCTTTAACCTCTAAAATCATTCCATATTTCTTGAAGTCATCAAGCAATGTGTTCAAGATGAATCAATTAGGACGAATGTTACATCTTACCATCTTATTCAATATTATTACCATTTATGTCTTTGGAGGTGAAATGTAAATCATTATAGGTGAAAAACATGGTGATATTTTCTCATATGTGAATTCTGGTAGTATATCTGTATATATAATGGCCTAATCCTCTATAAATCAAGTCATCGTTGCCGAGGCATCAATTACTGCCATGTCCAGCAACATTAGAGTGACAACCAATTTACGTTGGAGTAAACAATGATGACATCAGGTTTATATCCTAACCCCCCAATCATATTGAACAACTTTAGAGTCACAAATCAGAGTGAAAGATATATTTTCATGCAATGCATGATCTAATAGAGGGTACCTTATGTAAATGATGATTCAGAATTGTTAGTAGATGGCAAAAAAGAAAATGCTTGAGTTGGAGTCGAACTTGAAGCACCATAGTAATTTACAGGAACTGCACAGTGATAGAAGACATGTGTTTGTCATAGGAGTGGGCATCCGGTTCGGTAAATCCGAAGCAAACCGGATCAAAACCGAACAAACTCAAACTGAAACCATTTTAATGTTGTTCGGTTCGGAATTCGAAAGAGAAAATGGGATTATTTCGGAAACCAGGTAGTTAACCCGAACTCGAATTCTGAATCACCGAACCGAGAAATCGAATTTATGTTACTCATCGCTTAATTGAACCCAATACCCCCAGCCCACTCTCCCCAAGCCCAAACTCTTCTCCCCCAAACCCACTCTCCCCAAACCTGGCCCCCACAACCCTCTCCTTAAGCCCAATCCTCCACAACCCTAATTCCAATCCCATCAGTCATCCCTATCTCAATCCCACATAGCAGCCGCCAGCCAACAATGGATCTCATTCAAATCTCTATCCCTATGCCACACAGGTAGCCAGTCGCCCGAACCCATATTTTCACCTCGTCGATGCCCTCGTCGCCAATTGATCTCACCTTTTGCATGCGGGATTGGTGGCATTGGCGGTAGAGAATCATATGAACCTAGAGACGTCAACATCGTTTGTGGATTCGAAGATAGAAGAGAGACGAAGTAGATCCGCCGTGTTCTGTGATGGGCTTCTCGTGTCGTCTGCGACGGCGACACCCTATCCCATATCCGTCGTGGCAAACGAGGGCGCTCCTGGACGACGCGGGAGAGGGGAGAAGGAAGAGGAGGATGTTGGAGGCGGATTTGTGGAGGAGTTCAAGGAAAGATCATCGGTGGAAGAAGTAGCATATTTGAGGGAGGGAGTGGAAGGGTGTCGCTTTGGGGGATTGGAGGGTGCAATGGATCTTTCTTTTCCTGCCCATTACTGAGTTACGCGGGGTGTAGTCGTCGAAGTTGAAGATGGCTGTCGGAGAAGGGGCCATTATAGAATCAATTGAGCGGGAAAGCGGGTCGGCAAGAGCGGCGATGGGATGTGGCGGAAGAGTGGTAGTGACTCGCACGAAACTACACCACAATTAAACCCCAATTAGAGACCAAGTTTGTAAACTCTAATCAGGTGTAGTATATGGCAAGTATTTATATATTGACCCAGGCGGGTCCGTCTACCCCTACTTTGGTTATTGAAATCATTATCTAGCGATAAAACTTTGGTTTAAAGGTTTGCTAATTGAAATTAAAGAAAGCAAAGGTAATTTTGTTTAAAAACTCTTTTGTGGGAAAGTCACTCGGGTTTCGCTTCCCCCTAACCACTACCATGCTACGTGGATTGGAACGATTTCCTTGGGCACGTAATCTTGAACCACAGAGGAAAGCGTATGTGGTCGAAGACCACAGTCTCAATTGCTAAACCGAGGTGAGGATGAAAGGTCGTGTCACTCGACCCTCTCGGTTTAGAAAATCGGTAATCGGCTTACTCCCTCACTTAACTCTAAGGTCGGACGACTTAACCACGATTAATCGACTTGTTCAATTCAATATTGAGGGTTGCCCTAACTCAACCTAGTTTAGGTGGCTTAGAAAACGGAAGGAAAACCAACTCGATTGAGTCTCCCTTGAAAGGGTGATTTTCCTCTCTAAACTAGGCTAAGGTGGCAAATTATATTACTAGCACCTACATGCACAAACTTAGGGGGTGCTAAGCACAATTATGCACAATCCCTAGGATGCTAAGCACAAAATATGCATAACCCCTAAGTTGCTAAGCACAAGCATACACAATCATGGTGAATAATGCCTCAAACATTAAATTGAACAATACCCAATATCAATCATCCAAACCACATACAAGAAAACTACATGGTAGAGTTAGGGTTTCAATACAACCAAGCGAAAGGAGGACTACTCCATAGAAGAAGTGGGAAGAGCAAAAGGGAAAAAGGTGGAAACCATATTTTGGGGATGCCTCCTCTCTTCTTCAATCTTGAGCTGAGATCTCCTTGGGGAAATCTTCCCAAAATCTGCCTTGAAGCCAAACTCTAACATCTTCTTCTCTTTGGTTCTGTTTCTCTCACTAAAATGCTGAAGAAGGTGTTTCTCTCACAAAAGTGGGCTCTCTCATCTCTCCTCCTTGCAGCTCAGCTTTTAAACACGAGAAGAGCTGAGTTCACGCCTGTGAACCATCAAACGCGTCCGTGAACTCAGTATGAGCGCCAAAAAGCTCCGCATCGCTCACGTCAGTTCACGGGCAACTGCTTGTGTTCACGGTCTTAGTGACCGTGAACTCACCTTGCGCCAGTAACCTTCAGATTGGCTCTGGACGCCTTACATCTTCAACCTAAACCTGAACGGTCTATGGTTTTGACTAAAACCCTTCTCTTCAATCAAATGCCACTAGCATTGGCCAAAACCCTTATCTCTCCCTTCCAACTATCACCAATCACGAATTACCTTGAAGCACTCTTCCTCAGACAACTCTTGCTAGTTCTGTAAGATTTGGTAGTGAAATTCGAAACAATGTGGGGGTTTCGTTGGCTTGGGTGCCAAGAAACCCCTCCTAGAGCATGTACTTTGATTTTTCGTAGCACTCTCTACTTTATTTACCCCATTTTATTACCTCTTTTTCGTTTCTCTTTTCTATTCTTTTCTTGCTCTTTTTTTTTCTTTTTGAGGGGGTATTAGAGAGTAAGAACACTTACCACCTAAACATTTATTGACCAATGCTCTCTTTCTAAGGAACTCACTCCAACACTACACTTCATTTTTCTCATCCCTAGCAAGGACCACTCACGAACCTCCTATGTAGAACCTCTATGGAAACTCAATGGTCAGAGCTCCGGGACACACGGGCGACTCATGTTTGGACACGAAGAAAGGATTTGGGGGTCGTTCTACTAACACCTTTAAGCTCACACGAACGAAACCCCTAAATCAAGAACGACCCATGAAGTCACACGGCTCAAAGGGGTTGACTAAAGGATGACTCATTTTGGGACAATCAACATATGGGGCGTGGACTAATCCTATGCCTCCATAATACATGCTAGTGATAACTTGTGATGCTACACAACGTGGTAAGAGGGAATTATCACACCGAAAGAAACAAACGGCTCAAAGTTCACAGGCTACCTAGTTACCCAACCATCTATTCCAATTCACAAACATGATGCATGGCAATTGTAAACAACAAGTGATCAAGTCAAGAAATCCATTCATTTATGCACACTAGAGAACTAAACTTTTGCCCTATCCACAAACACGAGAATTTCACACCATTAGGCCACTTTGAACATGCAAACATTGGTTGGAGCCTTCAAATTTTTGAAATTTAGGCATACAAAAGGCTCCAAGCAACATCTCACTCACACAAGCATACTAGTAGACTACCCCCCCCCCCCCCCCCCACAAACACTTAAACTCGGCATTGCCCTCAATTGCGTAAGGAAGGGCTAGAGTGATGTTACCGCTTGGGCTTGGTGAGTGAATTTAGGAATCGAACCGGGTTAGGATAATTGAGCTTCAAGGAGAGAAAACAAAACACACAGAAGCATATTACGACTCGCTCAATGCAAGGTTTATTACAAGCACAATACATAGTAGTAGTAGTTCATGTCACACACACACAAATAACAAAAACAAAAATAAAACAAGTTTAGGGTTACAAGTAGAGAAGTGGGGCGAAAGGACTCCGCTTTGGCTACCTCTCTCTGGACGAGGGGATCGCCTGTTCCTGGTGGTGGTGGCTGTTGTGCACGGCGTGGGAGCGCTGGACGCCGGCGGCGGCCGGGTGCACGAGCAGGTGGTTGGTCTGTTGCTGGCGGGACCTCGGGGCCTGGACTCAATCCCTCGATGTAGCGCATTAGGCCAAAGGTGCGCAATAAGAGCATGGAGTGTAGAGTGCCTTCAACAAATCTCTGAGTGCCTCCCTCCTTCGAGCACCCTGAGAGGCTGACATCGAAGTATCTGGCAAGGCAAATGATCTACGGACCCATGGACGTAACGTAACGACGCCCCCTGGCCCTGGTAAAATATGTGGCCATGACTGAACCCAGGTGCAATGTACTTGACCCGTCCGCCATGCAAGCACATGCCAATAAGATTCTCTCGGTAATCTTTTTGGATTGCGGTAAGCCGGGTAGAGGGAACGAGCCAGGAATGCAACCATGACACACCACTGGGGCTGGAGCATGGATGCCGTTGTGAGGGTCGACTTAACCTTTGTCCTTCGGTGCTTTGGATGACACATCTTCAGAAATGCATTCGCGTCAAAACTTTGAATGGTGTCTTCCTCCCACTAGTCCCTACGGTTAACTTCCACCATGAGGGCTCTGGCTAACTCGTCATAGCTGAAGTCACGAGGTTCCCCTCCCAATCGGAACTCGACCCGGCGAACCGGATGATCAGTAGGCATAGGCTCTTGCGTATGGCGAAGGTGCTGAAAAACTCTACGCAAAGCTCCCCGTAAGTGTCATCTTCAAGATCAAGTGCTTGGCGCCACAAGGGGTGCACCACTGCCTCTCTCATAGCATCACCGCAATGAAGCCTATGGAACTGGGTGAAGTCGAGTTTCCAATGGTTACCGACTCTTGAGGTTGCCCAGAACAACGCCTCTTAATCCATTTCGGGGCTGCTCCTTAGTGCCACAAGATATGGGTGATCCATGTTAACCATCATGCACAAACACAAACACACATCATACGTGGAAATAATCGTCATATATCGCTCATTGGGAGGAAAAGAGATTCCCCCCACACTTGTTTTTCCACCATGGCTAAAACATTTAAGCTCAAACCACGGTGGCATGGTTATGGGTATTTAACGGTTCAAGCACACAAAAATTAGAACCACAACCCCTACCACGGCGGCTACCATCCACCGATCAAAAGCAAACTTCACTTGCGTTCATAACATAGCACTTGGTGGGCAAATTATAAAAATAAGCACAATTCGGTTCAAACACGCCCACCAAGGCTAACTAAGCTCGTGAAAAAATCAATCCATCAATCACAGGACCTAATTCACCTAAGTCCTCGCCCTAACTAGATTCAATCATGCCAAGCACAAAAATTCAACCTCACTTCACTACCTAATCCGATTCTCCACAATTCACAAAGGTAAAGTTGAAAAACAAACCTAGAGACTCAAGTAGGACGAGGTAGGAAGTGAGGTGCGGGCGAGGACGGTGAAAAACTGGTCGGAAAACTGACGGGAGAGGGGTCGTCGGAGCTTCGTCGGAAGCTCGCCGGAGACTCGCTGCCGGTGACTTGGCCGGAAAAAAATGTGGTCCAAATCTCCCCAAATTCACAGCACAGGCCGGTTTTGAGGAGAGGGGACTGGGTATGACATTGGTTTTTGGTTTTGCTCGTCGGATTTGGGGGAAAAGTTGAAAAAGCGACAAGATTTCGCATTTTCCGGCAAAGATTCAAAGTTTTCCGGCAAGTTTTTGGTCGTGAAGTGAAGGGTCGCCGTTCACGCCCCTTTTATAAGCAGAGCTCTGAGTTCACGGACGCGTTGCCCAGCTCACGGTCTTAGCGACCGTGAACTCGCGAATGCGTCCGTGAACACGGAGTGGTTGATATGTGGTGAACATGCATCAACGCACAGTTCAGGGACGCATTTTCCTGTTCACGGTCTTAGCGACCGTGAACTCAACAATTCGTCTGTGAACTCAAGTGAAAACAGGGCCTTTCTACAAAAATTTTGACTCAACCTATTCCTCCGTGCATCCTAATCGATCACAACACAACCATAAACCGCTGACTTGCTTCTACCGTCACTCTAGAAAATGGCCAAGTGTAACCACCTCCTAAAGCGTAGTATAGCGGGTTTGGGTTTTAATGTCAACCCGGGTCCTAGATGTGATGACTACTCTGTGAGTTCTTATTATTTAGCAGTGAAACTTTAGTGAAGGTTGACACGCTAAAACACAACACCAAACTACGACCAAGTGTAATCGCAGTCCGGGAATGCAGTAAAGTGGCAAGTTCTAATTATTAACCCAGGGTCTAGAT